GTTCAGACCTTGCTCCATGTGATTTTTTGGCATTTACAGCGCTTAAACATGACACTGAATATAAACAAGCTACCGCCTGTGCCATATGAGATATGTCTGGAAATGGCCTACTGCACATGTTTGAGAAGTTGGTGGGATACAACAAAAAATGTATAGCACGTGAAGGCCGTTAACTTCCACAATGTAACTGCCAAAACCTCAGGAATCCTCAGATGGTGAGTAATGCGAGTAGTCGCATTACTTTTCAAACTCCCCTCGTAAGGGGGGAGGATGTGTGCTGTTGGTAATATTGCTTGTATAGTGCGTCAAAGATCAGGTTATGACTGTGCATATCGATCAGCAGTTGGTTTGGTTTTAGGGTACAGTATATGTGCTGTTTCTATAATAGTTTAAACATCTTTCTTTACTGACTGTCTTTATTATTTCCAAGAATCTTCCGTGGGGCCATAGGATTCTCCTGTATGTGGGATATGATGAGCATTACCTGATGATCTCTATTGTTCGATATTGAACATACATGTTCTTTAAACCTCTCTTGAAGTGTGTGATCTCTTTGTGCTATATAATTAGTGTGCAGTCTCTACAGTTTAGTTTATTTGCACCTCCACCATCAATTTTATTTTGTGATTGAGGTTTTTGGTGTTTTTTTTAAAGATATCAGTGGTTTGGAAGGGTATTGTGATAAGTATTTTTTTAATTTTGTTATATCCAAGATTTGTTTCATGTGTATGCAAATATCGTCCATTTCTCCTTATGTCCTTTGTTTGTTTATTTGTGCTATTACGTTGTTTTTCTGTTGATTTTATGTGTTTACTGTTGTTAAATTTGTTCCATTTTATATTTGTATTATGATAATTTTTTTTTGGTTATTTACCAAGTGGAATTTAATTTCTTACTTTCATTCTTTATTTTATGATGGATATATTTGTTGCTTGATTGAACATGTAAGTGTCGCCGTTTTGTGCTCTGTAGGATGATATGTTTGATGTACAGTCATACTTATTAGAGATGGCTTCCAGTATGTGTTAAATGATCTTGTAATGCGAATGTGTGGTAGTCTTTTGAGGCAGGTATTGACTGAATTACTTAATGATATTTAGTCGACTTCCGCTGTGAAGGGTTAAGGGAAGAACATTCGTTGATGCTTTTTGACAGTTGGGGTACAGAGCACAATATTTGGAGCAATGAAGGAAATAATGGGGACTGGAGAAGACACTTAATGTGGAGTTCTTAATCATTTGTCTACATCAAATATTAATTATCGTGGTTATCAAATCAAGGAGGATGTGTGGGGAATGTAAACATTAAAAATGAATACAAGAATTCAGTTCAAAAACCAGAATAGATAAAACCCCTTGGTGGATGAAGACATAGATTGGAGGATAATATTAAAATAGTTATTAAAGAAGTATGATATAATCACAAGGACTGGATCCTTGTGG